CGGAGTTCCCGAATCTGAGGCAACAACTTGGAACTGGAAAGTTTTCAGCGTTTCAAAATCAAAACTTTTCAGCGCAGTGATTTGTCCATTATCTGAATTTACATTTAGGAAAGCTGTGACGTCATTTTCACCACCTCCTCTCAGAAGATGATAGGAAATAGCTGCGTTTTCATTTGCATCGTTGTCCGATGCGCTTACAGAAAATATTGGCGCACCTGCGAAGTTATTTTCTGACAGATAACACTGTAATGGGTTTTGCAGGAATTGTGGACTGTTGTCATTTACATCTGCTATCTGAATGCTAAGAGTTTTAAAACTGGATAAAGTAGGCTCACCACAGTCTGTAGCTTCTATTGTAATATCATAATGTGACACCACCTCTCGGTCCAGAAACCCGCTAGTAACAATTGAGTAAGTATTTTCTTTATAGGATGGTTTTAAGTCAAAAGGAATGCCCTGAGTTATCCGTGAAATAATTTTCCCATTAACTCCAGAGTCTTTATCCGTTACACTGATAAGTGAAATAACTTTACCAGGCTTTGAATCTTCGGTTACTGTATTTGACAGTGACGTGACTTCTATTTCCGGTCGATTGTCATTGACGTCCTTAATTTTCACAATCACTCTACACCTGCTTGTTAAAGGAGGCGTTCCTTTGTCTGACGCCTGCACATCTAGTTTATAAACCTCGGAATCTTCAAAATCCAACCCTCCTTTCAGTGTAATTTCTCCGCTTACACTATCCAGTTCAAATATTTCATAAATTTTATGCGCTAATGTTTTACTAAGGCTATACTCTAATTCCCCATTTGTCCCTTCATCCGGATCTGTTGCATTTACGTTTGCAACAGTCGTTCCAACCGAAACGTTTTCAAATATTTCTATTTGATAAGTATCCTGTTTAAACGTCGGGCGATTATCATTAATATCAAGAACAGTGATGGAAACATTAAGCGTTCCTGATCGCGGAGGTTTACCTCCATCAACCGCGGTTACAAAGAGGAAATGTTTATGTTTTTTTTCTCTGTCTAGGGAATTCTTCAGAATTAGAAATGGTATTTTTTCCTCATCACTTTGACTTATCTCTATATCAAAGTGATCATTTGAAGATAATGAATATGTGCGGATAGAATTTATGCCAGCATCAGGATCACGGGCCGCATGCAGTTCCAATCGTGTTCCCGGGGATGATTGTTCTGCTACTTCAAAGGTTTGTTGTTTTTCAGAAAAACTCGGGGAATGGTCATTTACATCAGTAATTTCTACAGCTACATAGTGGATTTCGAGTGGGTTCTCTACAAGCATTTTTAGCTCTATCATGCAAGCACCACTTCCATGGCACAGTTCCTCTCTGTCGATTTTCTTACGAACCAGTAACACACCATTGTCCGGATTCACCTCGAAAAACGCATCCTTAGAGCCCGATACAACACGTAACAGACGATCAGCCAAAGAGGTTTTGTCAAGACCAAGATCCTTAGCAACATTTCCAACAATAGTCCCTTCTTTCATCTCCTCTGGAATCGAGTATCTCAGTTCAGCGAAAGCCTGCTCTCCGAAAATCAGCAGCAAAGACAAATGAAAAGCAAAGCAACAGCGGTTGCCTGTTTTGCTTCGTGTTCTCTCAGCCATCCTTCTCAAACAACACATTTACACATAAAACATATTTCTCCAGGAAGCTCAATTTATATATCCTTGGCTTTTCGTAAAGTATGTAAAGAAAACATATGGCACCGCCTCATCCGACTCACATCAGCTTTACTGTGAGGTATCAAACAAAAGCCTTCTTAGGGGAGGACCTAATTCCTTTATGGAATGCTCGGTGTAACAGTGACGCCAAGAGGACAACATTTTAGACGATTTATACTCTGAAAGGTTTTCCTATACATTAGTAACAACAGCCACATCAACATAAGTAAGCAGATAAACTCAAGTTGCAGCAAACACACTATAATATGCTAAGGGAAGGGCTGCGCCATCTTTACAGTCAGAGACTTTTTATTAGTCTCATGTGTCATTGAGAAAATAAACGGTGTATATTAGTGAACTCCGCCACAGTAACAATTTAACACGTCACGTCGGAAGGACGTACATGCAGGATTCGAGACAAAACGCTGCGCAATATTTGCTTCTTCTTCTTTTCTTCTGCTTCTTCTTCTCTTTATTATTATTGTTGTTTTTGTTTCTGTTAGTAACAGTAGTAGTGGGTGTTGTTGTATATATTTCTCCGATATTTCTACTAAAAGAAATCTTAAAACAAACAAACTCATAGGCTTTCTTTATATTGATAATGAAAGAAAACGTTATAGTATTGGTAATTATTTTGAATTTGTACACATTTTTGTATTGATATGGATACAAAAAGCAACTAACCCATTAATTCATTCATCATGAGTTATCAAAAGGTTTAATCTTGCAGACCAAATAACAGCTGACACATCTGAGCTGGATGCACAGTATGTGTTATATGTTAGTCTTACCTCCTCAGATGTTCTCCTCCTATCTGGCATCACCAATGTATTTGCATGGCTTCCAGGGACTATAGTAGATCCTATACTCATTCTGGGCCCAACTAGCATGTACCGCTTCTCTCCTGATCTGTACTGGATGCTGTGACACAGTGTCCCGTCATAATTAGTCTCTGGAAGATATTTAGACGTATAGTCTGTGGATTTGGAGCACTGCATTGCAATCAGAACGATGATACTGATGAGAAAAAGCACAGAAACTGCGCCCAAAGTTACCATGAGGTAAAATATGACATTACTGTCCTCATCATCGTTTGCTGCACTTTTAACATCAGAAGCTGCAAAAGCCTCTTTAGGCTCCACAAGTTTGACAATCACAGTAGCTGTTGCTGAGAGAGAAACGTTGCCGTTGTCTTTGACTCGTATGAGCAATTTATGCTCAGCCTCGTCTGTCTCTGTGAATGAGCGAAGTGTTCTGATCTGTCCTGTATAGCGGTCCAAAGCAAAGAGACTGTGGTCAGTAACTTCCTGCAGTGAAAAGAGCAACCAGCCGTTATATCCTATATCAGCGTCATAGGCTCTGACTTTAGTCACCAAGTGTCCTGCGTTGACGTTTCGGGGAATCTCCTCCACACCTTGAGCAGAGCCGTTGGAGCTGAGTGGATACAGGATGGCTGGAGCGTTGTCGTTCTGATCCAGGATGAAGACGTTGACTGTGACGTTGTTGCTTAGTGGCGGAGTTCCAGAATCTGAGGCAACAACTTGGAACTGGAAAGTTTTCAGCGATTCAAAATCAAAACTTTTTAGCGCAGTGATTTGTCCATTATCTGAATTCACATTTAGAAAAGATATTACATAATTTTCACCACCTTCTCTCAGAAGATGATATGAAATAGCTGCGTTTTCATTTGCATCGAGGTCTACCGCACTCACAGAAAATATTGGCGCACCTGCGAAGTTATTTTCTGTCAGGTAACACTGTAATGGGTTTTGGGTGAATTGTGGACTGTTGTCATTTACATCTGCTATCTGAATGCTAAGAGTTTTAAAACTCGATAAAGGAGGCTCACCACAGTCTGTAGCTGTTATTATTACTTCGTATTCTGGTACAGTTTCTCGATCTAACACTCCCTTCGTGACCACGGAATATATGTTTTCCTTGTAAGAAGGTTTTAATTCGAAAGGTGCATTGTCGGTCATGTGTGTAATTATTTTTCCATTAAGTCCAGAGTCTTTATCCGTTACACTGATAAGTGAAATAACTGTGCCAGGCTTTGAATCTTCGGTTACTGTATTTGATAGTGACGTGACTTCTATTTCTGGAGCATTATCATTAATGTCTTGTATCTTTATTATTACTCTACACCTTCCGATTAATGGAGGTTGTCCTTTATCAGATGCTTCAACGTCTAGTTTATAAATCTCAGAATCCTCAAAATCTAATGCTACTTTTAGCGTAATTTGTCCACTTACACTATCCAGTTCAAATATCTGATAAACTTTACGCGCTAATGTTTTGCTCAGGCTGTATTCTATTTCCCCGTTAGTGCCTTCATCTGGGTCTATAGCAGCTACAGTTGCAACAACAGCACCAACAGAGACATTTTCTTTTATTTCAATTTGGTAAGTCTCCCGACTGAATGTCGGGCGATTATCATTACTGTCAAGAACAATAACGGATACATTAAGCGTGCCAGATTTTGGAGGTTTACCTCCATCAACTGCTGTTACAGTTAGCAAGTGTTTATTCTTTTGTTCTCTGTCTAAAGATGTCTTCAGCACTAGAAATGGTATTTTCTCCTCATCACTTTGACTAATCTCAATATCGAAATGCTCGTTTGACGTTAGTGTGTATATGCGGATAGAGTTTATTCCGGCATCAGGATCACGAGCCGGGTGAAGCTGGAATCGTGTTCCCGGAGATGTATGCTCGGCCATTTCAAAGGTCTGCTCCTTTTCAGAAAAGCTGGGGGAGTGATCATTTACATCAGCAATTTCTACAGCAATATGATGCATTTCCAGGGGATTTTCAACAAGGATTTTTAGCTCAATGAGGCATGAACCGCTACCGTGACAAAGCTTTTCTCTGTCGATTTTCTTACGAACCTGTAAAGCCCCATTGTCCGGGTTTACCTCGAAAAACGCGTCCTTAAATCCAGAAACAACACGGAACCGACGATCAGTCAAAGAGGTTTTGTCAATACCAAGATCCTTGGCCACATTTCCAACAGTAGTTCCTTCTTTGACCTCCTCCGGAACAGAGTATCTCAAATCAGCCAAAGCCCGCTTTCCGAAAACCAGCAGCAGTGTCAAATAAAAAGCAACCCAGAAGCACTCACAGCATCGATACGGTCTTCCATTCCTCATTGTTGTCCAGTTGCACACGATGACACCTGAATCTGTTTCTATAATAATTATATTTGCGATTACTTCACGGTCTCATCCGACTCCCGTTTTTAGATATTATGCATTCGTTGCTGTGAACCACCAGACAAAAAGGTTTGTTAGGGGAGGGACTGTGTTTTTCTGGTCATTTATGTTATAGTGACACCAAGAGGACAACTCTGTATGTTTATTTCTGATGATTTTAAGTAAGGACCAGTACAGGTATGTATTTTATGTGCAAAATCTGTCACTAAGGACAATAGCGATAAAAGAGTTCTATCCACTTACTTAAGGATACGTGAGGTATTTCTTTCCCCTGAATTTCACCAGTTGAATTTTGTATTCATTTTATAATAGTACTGAAGAAAGATTTAATTTTTCTGCTTTTACATAACAGTATATTAATCTGACACCCTACTTTGAATGGAACCGGCAACGCGCCACAGTATAGTTCAGCACTACAGACAGCGATAGCTGCTCTTGACATAGCTGCTCTCGTTACCAAAGCTACCTGTAATTGTAACACCAACAGAAAGCGGAGGTTGACAAACTTAACCAGAAAATCTAACATAGTAATATCAAAAACTGTTCTCCTATTCACAAGAAACTATTCTGGTTATTGCAGCTTAGCTATAATATTGGTAATAGTATTGGTAATTAAAACCGTCTCAAAGGTAACTACAGTGAAAAATGAAAATGTAATCATGTTTTAAAGCACTTCATTTTCAAAATCACCACAATGCAAAGCGGGACATATACTACGTCATAAAGATGACTGTTTTGCTGCAGTGTGATTTCAAGGAAACGGTAACACATGCAGCAATTGTATAACCTGAGTGTGACTAGATGAGTAACACTGCTACTGAGAACAAGCTACAAGCTAAGAACTGAATTAAAGTTGACTGGATCTCGAACAACCAATAGAAATGTAGTATTTTAACAGTGTTCTAGTCTCTTCCCTCTTTCTCTCGGTTTACCCCATAAAAACTTGCTGATAACTTGCTCCAACAAATAATGGCATTAATCAATCATTGTGTTTCTTTAACATTCCTTCACCTGATAGCCTGATAGTTTTTGGAACCATGTATAGCGATCACAGGCTCTCCCACATAACTTTAATTCCAAAAAGTAGCATATAAACAACTACCAAGAGAGACAGTAAAGGCTCCCAACACATGCTCAAAGAAATAAAAAGAAAGGGAAAAAAAAACAATCAGCACCAAGGGCAGCGAATAGTTCGCAAAACTACAAAGGATTATTATTGTTATTGTTATTGTTATTATGACTTTATAATTTATCAGTGAATGTGATCTAAAAAACAGCACGAAAAAAGCTGGTATTTAGCACATTGAACGGAGTGGCTCGGGAAGCGTACAAACTCCACCCAGCCAGACAAACCCAAACTTTCTTGCTTTGAAGTAATAGCGTGACCCACTGCACCACTATGCTACTTGCTACCATTATAACTGATATTGTAAAGCAAGCCGAAAACGGAAAGGGAAAACGCTTTTACAAAAGGGTGTTAAGGTCTTACCTCTTCAGATGCTCTCCGCCTGTCGGGTAGAACTAATGTGTTTGCGTGGCTACCCGGGACTATAGTAGATCCTATACTCATTCTGGGTCCAACGAGCATGTACCGCTTCTCTCCTGATCTATACTGGATGCTGTGACACAGTGTCCCATCATAATTAGTCTCTGGCAAATATTTAGAAGTATAGTCTGTGGATTTGGAGCACTGCATTGCAATCAGCACTACGATGCTGACGAGAAAAAGTACAGAAACTGCGCCCAAAGTTATCATGAGGTAAAATATGACATTACTGTCCTCATCATCTTTTGCTGCACTTTTAACATCAGAAGCTGCAAAAGCCTCTTTGGGCTCCACAAGCTTGACAATCACAGTAGCTGTTGCTGAGAGAGAAACGTTGCCGTTGTCTTTGACCAGTATGAGCAGTTTATGCTCAGCCTCGTCTGTCTCTGTGAATGAGCGAAGTGTTCTGATCTGTCCTGTATAGCGGTCCAAAGCAAAGAGACTGTGGTCAGTAACTTCCTGCAGTGAAAAGAGCAACCAGCCGTTATATCCTATATCAGCATCATAGGCTCTGACTTTAGTCACCAAGTGTCCTGCATTGACGTTTCGGGGAATCTCCTCCACACCTTGAGCAGAACCGTTGGAGCTGAGTGGATACAGGATGACTGGAGCGTTGTCGTTCTGATCCAGGATGAAGACGTTGACTGTGACATTGTTGCTTAGTGACGGAGTTCCAGAATCTGAGGCAACAACTTGGAACTGGAAAGTTTTCAGTGTTTCAAAGTCAAAACTTTTCAGCGCGGTGATTTGTCCATTGTCTGAATTCACACTTAGGAAAGACATTATATCATTTTTACTCCCTTCTCTCACAACGTGATATGAAATGGCTGCATTGTCGTTCAAGTCTTTATCCGTCGCGCTTACAGAAAATATTGGCTTTCCAGCAACGTTGTTTTCTGACAGGTAAACCTGTAGTGGATTCTGCGAGAATTGTGGGATGTTATCGTTTACATCTGATATTTGAATGCTAAGGGTTTTAAAAGTAGATAGTGGAGGCTCACCACAATCCGTGGCTTTCATTGTTATTTCATAATAAGACACTTTTTCTCGATCTAAAAGTCCCTTGGTTACAACTGAATATATATTTTCCTTATACGAAGGCTTTAATTCAAAAGGCACGTCTGAGATTATGCTTGTAATAATATTTCCGTTCACTCCGGAATCTCTATCTGTTACACTGAGTAGAGAAATAACTGTGCCAGGCTTGGAGTCCTCGGATACTGAATTTGATAGTGATGTGATTTCTATTTCTGGTGGATTGTCATTAACATCAGTGATTTTTATGATGACTCTGCACTCACCCGTCAGTGGGGGTGTTCCTTTATCGGACGCCTCAATATCAAGTTTGTAAACGTCATTTTCTTCATAGTCAATCAATCCCTCTACTATAATTTCCCCACTTAACTTGTCCAGTTCAAATATGTCATACACTTTCTTCTTTAGAGTTTTTCCAAGGCTATATTCAACTGCTCCATTTAAGTTTTCATCTGGATCTGTCGCATTAATTTTAAATATTTTGGTGCCAACCAAAACGTTTTCTGGGACTGAAATTTCATAAATTTCCTTACTAAACATTGGGCGATTGTCATTAATGTCTAGAACAATAACGGTAACATTTAGGGTTCCGGATCTTGGAGGTTTAGCCCCATCAACTGCTGTAACCACAAGCGAATGGTTGCATTTTTGCTCTCTGTCCAGCGACTTTTTTAGGACTAAAAATGGTATTTTTTCCTCGTCACTTTGGCGGACATCTAATTCAAAATGATCGTTTGGTGTTAAGGTGTAGGTATGAATGGAATTAAGTCCTGCATCAGGATCACGAGCGGTGTGTAGCTGGAACCGCCTTCCCGGCAGTGTATGTTCGGCTATTTCAAATCTCTGATTTCTTTCGGAGAAATTAGGAGAATGATCATTTACATCAGTAATTTCCACAACTACATAATGCATTTCCAGTGGGTTTTCAACAAGAATTTTAAGCTCCAGTAAGCATGCGCCACTTCCTTGACAGAGAACCTCTCTGTCGATTTTCTTGCGAACATAGAGAGCCCCATTGTCCTGGTTTACCTCAAAAAAGGCATCCGTATTTCCAGACACAACACGAAAACGTCGATCAGCCAAAGAGTTGATGTCAAGGCCCAGATCTTTCGCAATATTTCCAACTACAGTTCCATCTGCAACCTCCTCTGGAACAGTATATCGTATCTGAGAAAAAGCCTCCTTCCCAAAAAGCAGCAATACGGCCACATGAAAAACAAACCAGTAACCCTTCATCGTTCGTGATCCTGTAGTGATCTTCATAGCTATTTAACAGTACCTACATACACAGAAGCTCCCTGAGTCGACAAACAGCAGGTTATAGCATATTTCTAAAATATAAACCGTCCATCAGCTGGTGGGTTTGGTTTTAATACGCGATTTCCCCTCCTCAATCTGAAACAAAAGCCTTGAAAGAGGAGGGACGGAGTCATTTTTTTTCTTCCGATGTAAGAGTGACACCCAGAGGAGATGTGTTACAAAACGTGATTCATATGATACATATATTTTGTCTTCTCTATATGCTTTCTTTCCGCCTTACAAATTAAAGCGACTGTACTATTTTTTTCCTGCCATAGAACTTAATGCAATCGAAGAAGCATTAGGAAACATGGATCTGATAGTACTCAGATTAATTCTATAGGGATGAATTTCATTTTGACATACTTTGATCGCAATGGGCATCAAGTAGTTATACAGAGTTTCTTTCACACAGCGAATGTAGATGTGTGTTAAAACAACAACGCTGATGTATACTGCCCATAAATTGACTAATTCTAGATTTAAAGCTGGGAACGTGTAAGACCCACGCGTCACAACTATACATTTCTTAACTTTTTTTCAACTTTGTAAGGGAAACTTCTCAAAAGCTGAGACCAAAATAATTAAAAGGAAACGTGTATTTGTATTTGTATAGATGTTAAAATACCCCAGTAAGTACTGTTTCAGGGCGTCTGTTTGTGAAATAGAAATTAAACGAATTAAAAAATGATGGGCAACGTCTTACCTCTTCAGAAGGACGTCTCCTATCAGGAAGCACTAGAGTATTTGCATGGCTGCCAGATACTATAGTAGATCCTAGACTCATCCTGGGTCCAACTAGCATGTACCGCTTCTCTCCTGATCTATACTGGATGCTGTGACACAGTGTCCCATCATAATTAGTCTCTGGCAAATATTTAGAAGTATAGTCTGTGGATTTGGAGCACTGCATTGCAATCAGCACGAAAATACTGACGAGAAAAAGCACAGAAACTGCTCCCAAAGTTACCATGAGGTAAAATATGACATTACTGTCCTCATCATCGTTTGCTGCACTTTTAACATCAGAAGCTGCAAAAGCCTCTTTGGGCTCCACAAGTTTGACAATCACAGTAGCTGTTGCTGAGAGAGAAACGTTGCCGTTGTCTTTGACCAGTATGAGCAATTTATGCTCAGCCTCGTCTGTCTCTGTGAATGAGCGAAGTGTTCTGATCTGTCCTGTATAGCGGTCCAAAGCAAAGAGACTGTGGTCAGTAACTTCCTGCAGGGAAAAGAGCAACCAGCCGTTATATCCTATATCAGCGTCATAGGCTCTGACTTTAGTCACCAAGTGTCCTGCGTTGACGTTTCGGGGAATCTCCTCCACACCTTGAGCAGAGCCGTTGGAGCTGAGTGGATACAGGATGACTGGAGCGTTGTCGTTCTGATCCAGAATGAAGACGTTGACTGTGACGTTGTTGCTTAATGACGGAGTTCCAGAATCTGAGGCAACAACTTGGAACTGGAAAGTTTTCAGCGTTTCAAAGTCAAAACTTTTCAGCGCAGTGATTTGTCCATTATCACTGTTTATATTCAGGGATGACATAACGTCATTTTGGCTCCCCTCTCTCATAATGTGATATGAAATAGCTGCATTGTCATTTAAGTCATTGTCTGAAGCGCTTACAGAAAATATAGACTTTCCAGCAGCGTTGTTTTCTACGAGATAAAACTCTAAAGGATTTTGTTTGAAATGTGGACTGTTGTCATTTACGTCTGATATCTCAATGCGCAGAGTTTTAAAAGTAGATAGTGGAGGTTCACTGCAGTCGGTGGCTTTTATTGTTATTTCATAATGGGACACCACCTCTCGATCCAAAACATCCTTAGTTACCACTGAGTATGTGTTTTCCTTATAAGAAGGTTTTAATTCAAAAGGGACTTCATTAATAATGCTTGATATTATTTTTCCATTCACACCGAAGTCTTTGTCTTTCACACTAAGAAGTGAAATAACGGTGCCAAGCTTGGAATCTTCAGGCACTGTGTTTGAAAGTGATGTAACTTCGATTTCAGGCGGGTTATCGTTGACATCTAGTACTTTTATAATTAGTCTACACTCGCCCATCAATGGAGGCGTTCCTTTATCCGATACCTCAACATCCAGTTCATACACGTTGTTTTCTTCATAGTCCACTACTCCTTTGACCGTAATTTCTCCACTTATTTTGTCCAGTTCAAAAATATCATAAACTTTCTGCCATAAAGTTTTTCCGAGAGTATATTCAACTTCTCCATTAGTACCTTCATCATAATCTGTCGCATTCATTCTAAATACTGATGCACCGACGGGTATATTTTCTTTTATAGACAAGTGATAAATCTCCTGACTAAATATTGGACGATTGTCATTACTGTCCAGAACAGTTATGGTAACATTTAATGTGCCTGATCTTGGAGGTTTTCCTCCATCGACAGCTGTCATCACTAGCTTGTGTTCATTATTTTGTTCTCTATCTAGTGATTTCTTAAGCACTAAAAACGGTACCTTTCCTGCATCACTTTGACGGATATTTACTTCAAAATGTTCATTTGAGGTTATAGTATATGTACGAATAGAGTTTAATCCAGCATCGGGATCGCGAGCAGTGTGCAGCTGAAATCTCTTCCCTGGCAGTGTTTGTTCAGCTATTTCAAATGTCTGCTCTCTTGCAGGAAAACTAGGAGAATTATCATTTATGTCAGTAATTTCTACGATTATGTAGTGTATTTCCAAAGGGTTCTCTACAAGAATTTTTACCTCCATGCGGCAAGCACCGCTGCCCTGACAGAGTTCCTCTCTATCGATATGATTACTGACATACAATGCCCCACTATTCTGGTTTACCTCAAAAATACTGTCCTCACTTCCAGAGACAACACGGAACCGTCGGTCACCCAAAGAGGTTACATCAAGCCCGAGATCCTTCGCAACATTTCCAACAACAGTGCCATCGTCCACCTCCTCTGCAACAGAATATCTTATTTGAGCCAAAGCTTCTCTTCCGGAAAATAGCATCAACGCCAAATAAAAGGCAAACCGGGAGTAGTGACTTGTTGGAGTCTCCATCATTTTTCAACAGCATAAAAATCCACAGGAGCTGTTAATGCCAAGAGCAATAACCGACTCGCTTACCGCCGCATATTTACAAAACCAACAACAGGGTTTTGTCGGCTGGTATATTTGGTCCAAGTGCTTTGCTCAGCTCAGACAAAGGGTTTGCAAGGGGAGGGACAATGTTCTTAAAGGTTTTCTGATTTCATAGTGACACCCAGAGGCTGTGCTGAGAAAGAACCTCATATGCTGGGGTTTTTTTTTTTTCCATTGATTGAATCCTCTTTTAGGCTTGAGAACTGAATTAAAGTTGACTGGATCTCGAACAACCAATAGAAATTTAGTATTTTAACATTTTCTAGTCTCTTCCCTCTTTCTCTCGATTTACCCCATAAAAACTTGCTGATAACTTGCTCCAACAGATAATGTCATTAATCAATCATTGTGTTTCTTTAACATTCCTTCACCTGATAGCCTGATAGTTTTTGGCACCATGGATAGCGATAACAGGATCTCCCACAGAACTTTAATTGCAAAAAGTGACATATAAACAACTACCAAGACAGACAGTAAAGGCACCCAACACATGCTCAAAGAAAAAAAAAGAAAAAGAAAGGGAAAAAAACAATCAGCACCAAGGGCAGCGAATAGTTCGCAAAACTACAAAGGATTATTATTATTACTATTATTATTACTATTATTATTTGTACATGTATGGCTTTCTAGCTTATCAGTGAATGTGATCTAAAAAGAAACAGCAGGAAAACATAGCACATTGAACAGAGTGGCTCGGGAAGCGTACAAACTCCACCCAGCCAGACAAACCCAAACTTTCTTGCTTTGAAGTAATAGCGCGAACCACTGCACCATTATGCTACTTGCTACCATTATAACTGATATTGTAAAGCAAGCCGAAAACGGAAAGGGAAAATGCTTTTACAAAAGGGTGTTAAGGTCTTACCTCTTCAGAAGGACATCTCCTATCAGGGAGTACGAGAGTATTTGCATGGCTTCCAGGTACTATAGTAGATCCTATACTCATTCTGGGTCCAACTAGCATGTACCGCTTCTC